TTAAGCGTAATTCTTAGGCTGCTGGATCAGCAGCAGGTCCTAAGACCGGCCAATCCAAATTAAGCCTGAAATAGATTTCTCTAAACAGCAACAGTTTGATATTGGTCTCCAGACTGGGGCCAGAGTAAGATGTCGGTCTCAGACCTCAAGTGAGGAACCCATGCCTCCTGAAAGGGTCTGACATGCAATTTATTGATTTTAAGAGTGTCATCCCAAGGGGCACAGCTCCTGTCCGGCTTCGGTGCTTTATTATAGCACTGCTCATTGACACAGTCGGTAAAGCAAGAAGAAGCAATAAGTAGATGGTGCTGAGTCATTCCAAATTCTATATCCCGTAACATTAGATTTGAAAGCTTAACATTTAACCAGCTTCTAGAAGCTTCCTTTGCTGGATAACAACGGGCTGAACATTTACTAGAGTTCACTGAAAGTGTTTTGCTGGGTTTCTGGAACATCTTCAGTTAAATTAAGCATCTTAAATATCCAGCAGGGATCACTTAAAGCAGAAATACTCAATACAGGTGGTCTCCAGCCCACACGTAAGGGTCCACCTGCCGTGGCTCCCTTCTCCTCAGTGGGAGAACAGGGTCTCCCTGACGTGTCCATGGGAAGCTGGTGGTACAATTCCACAGGAACTAACTACGTGGGCTCAAGAAAAGGGGGGAAGGAGGGAGTGTGAAACCTGGGAAGAGCCAGGGGGAGCAGAATCCCAGGTGAGGCCAGCCTGACAAAGTGCAGACCAGATAACACACTTCGTGGCCTGCAACGGCCTCCCTGTGGAGGCCTGCATTTCTTTCACTGTCCATACTATATTGTGCTGCTCCGAATTCCACCATGTAGAGCTACGTCTTGGCAGAGGCTGAAGTGAAAGCATGAGGTGGGAGGAGGCTTTCATCGGGCCGTGGGAAGGAGGAAGATGGCCACTAACAGCTGTAGTACTTGCTTCTGGGCCATGGGCTTTACACAGCATTATCTCATTTAGCCCTCGCAGCAACCCCAGGAGACAGTTGTAAGAGTGTCCCAATTTTCCAGACGAGGAAACTGAGGTTTGAGATATTAAGTAACAGCTGGTCATGTGCCAAGGATGGGATCCAAACCCCTAGTCTGATCTGATGCTGTGAAATGCAACTCTTGCTTGGGGGGGGGGCTCCCTGATTTCTTGCTCTTTGCCTTCTTTCTGCAACTTATGGGATCTGGCACCCTGGTAAGAGGCTCTAGCCTAATAATATTGTGACTCACATTTCAGTTATATTACGGTTTATGCCTAGATCTGTGTGGGTCGGCCCGGGAACTGGATGGCTTGATTTAGAAGATTGTTTCCAAGGAAATTTCGTAACTTGCTACCAAACTGGTGGAATATAATCCCATCGTATTACAATAGATTGGGTATTACCTGTAATTATAATTTAACAATGCTCAATCTTTCTTCGGGTTGGCCCCTAGTCACCCAAGAAGGCTGCCTTCTTAGCCCAAGGCTATTCACATTTGGTTTTGGTTTACGGTGCCACCGAATTGTACCACACCGTGCATCTACCAGATAGTGTGTTCCGTGCAGGCAGAGACTTTTGCCTGTTTTGTGCACCAAGGATTCCCCAGCACCTAGGACAGAGCCGGGCACACGGAGGCACACATGAACTGTTTGTTGAATGAATACATGCTTTTAGATCACAAATTTTAAAACTACATGTACTTTGTGTTTTTGACACACATTTAGGGGTGTCATACATGGCCAGCATCTGGCATGGGACTATGATGAACTAACCTTTGATAAATTCAGACAACCTCTTGCAACAGGGTTTTAGTGGCTAGTTGAAGACCTTCCTCCCAAATAAAGTGTTCTCTCCCGAGGTAGCAAAACCAGATGCTCTGCTCTGTGTTCGGTGGTCTGGGGACGCCCTGGTCCCAGTTTCAGCCCACCTGCCTCCTGCCAAGGTGGAAGTCTTGCACTCTGCACAAGCTGCTTTACCATGAGGAGCAGAAAAGATTAACTTTCAGCTCTATAATGCTATGACATCTGCTAATTTCACCTTCTAGATTCCTCCTGCCTGCCCTAATCACGCTTTGGAGAAGACGCCCAACAAAAAGCAAGTAAAAGAACAGAGATAGCTCAAGAGAAAAGGATGCCCTTGGATGCCCTCACGGGGAAAACCACAAGTCCTTGAGTTTAGACAAGTTCATAGCTGCCACAGGAGGCAACCACAGCCCATTTATTTTATAGCCAACCTGTAGGCAAGCAAGTGAGCCAGTTTCGCCTTCTCTTTGGGTCGTTCGGAATAGAATTCTGGCCGTTTCATTTACACTGGAAGCAGCATAACACACGCAACGTCAGGGGTGAGGGTGGATGGTGTGGCCCCCTTTGAACAGCCAGGAGTGTTTAAGGTCGTAGGAGAGTGCCTTTACTCAATCACTAAGTCACAAGTATCTGAAAAGCAGAGGGACTATTTTCAAATGAAACTAGTGACTGATGTTTTTCTACATAAGCCTTAACCAGTTGCACGGTGTACAGTGCAAGATATAAATGTCAGCACTGTGACGGGAGCATGTGGACACTGGTTGAGTGTTCAAAGTCTGCACACTGTCATTATGCTGCCTTCCTGCACCGACAGCTTGCTACCGAATTGAACATACCTGGAAAGAAGTCAACTTGGCTTAGAATGCAGCTCAGTTTCTCTTTGGGAACGTTTCTGTTTCAAGTGTCCTCTAGGATCTATTGGGTCTTCCCATAGATAAAACAGAATTGGGTTTGTTCTGCTGGTTTAAATGTAAATAGAGTAGTAGGACTCTCGTCCATTGAAGACGAAGACTTAGCATCGGTTTTGGGAAAGGGAAGTAAAGTCCCTTCGCCCACCTGTCCTTTGCACACCCCCACCCTGCCCTGATTAGTAGATTGATGCTACCTTGCTTGCTCTGTCACTGGTTGTATCTTACATGTGGCAGAGATTTTCTCAGGGTATTATCAAATAATAATCAAATGATTCAACCCTGACCACGCATTAGAGTTACCTGGGAACATCTAAATTTCCAAATGCCCAAGTCACACCCAAAACCAATTAAATCAGAATCTCTCAGGGTAAGGCCCAGCATCAGTATCCCATTAAAGATCCGTGGGTGATTCCAGTGAGCAGGGGGTCTCTCCTGAGTTTTTTCCCAGAGGACAGTTAGGGCAGAACCATGAAGGGCATGGACGGAATCTCATAGCCACTGGTGTTTGGGAGAAGAAAGGCCTCCCCTTACTGCATGGTTGTAACTGTTCACTGAGTTCTAAAGTAAGTAAGTAACTTATTCAAAGTCAGAATTAGTTAAAAGCGGAGCCAGGACCAGGGCACCTGAGTGGCTCTCTGTTGAGCGTCTGTCTTTGGCTCAGTTCATGATCTTAGGGTTTACAGATGGAGCTTCCCACTGGGCTCCTTGCTGAGTAGGGAGTCTGCTTCTCCTTCTTCCTCTGCACCCCCTCCCTTTGCTTGTGCTCTCTGTCTCAAATAAAAAATACAATCTTAAAACAAAAAAAAAAAAAAAAAAAAGAAAAGAAAAGAAAAAGAAAGTGGAGCCAGAACCAAGAGCCAGCATTAAATAAGCCTAGGTAGACAGGATACGAATATGCTAATTAAATTTCCATGAATTAATCAGCTTCATAATCAGGCACAGTGATATTTCTCCCGAACATCCTGGATAGAGATCTATTATCTAACCCTGTGTCCCTCTTCCTCTGGCCTAGGCTGTTTGAGTGAATGAAAAGCCACTTACTCAGCTCTCATGGCCACCATTCTGAAGACAATGACACTAAGGGGCATTTTAAATTTAAGTTTCTACTGGAGAAACATTTATATACACCAAGGTGGGAGTTAATGGCTGAAACCAAAGCCTTTAAAAATAAATTTATATAACTAATCGACAGAAACTCCTGGAGCGGTTACTTCCATCTCAAGGGATCAACCGTGTTCTTTTTCTAACTCTAAGTCACTCTTGAAGTCTTAACTTGCCTTTAAAAAATGCATTTCTCCTTCTTTCTTGGGACCTCTGGAAGAAGATGACTTTATTGTTGTAATTAAGCATAAAATAAGCACATCACATTTCCTGCACTGTTTTTAGCTCAAGGCCACTAGGTTTGAGGGACTCTTGCATACAGCTAACTTGCTGGGCCGCTTCTCTCTGCATATGACTTGTTTGTTTTAAGTGCAAAATAGCTAGAGGGATAACGGAAGCGGTTTAGCCGGGGTGACATCCTGACTACAGCTCACTACTGCTTTATTTTGGGGCTGTGTCAAATTTTCTCTTGCTCCCTCTCTTACCTACATACTTCCCCAATAACCTCTAACTTGTAGCATATGCACATACCTTGCTTTATGCAACAGATACATTTCTGAAGAGAGGTAGGCAAATTACATCAAACCTTAGTTGAGAGGCCCCAATAGAGTGCTACCTAACACATTTTTTGAGAGGTAAATCACAAAATTCATTGGTTTACTTATTTATATGGTCTTTTTATTTTATTTTTTAAAATATGGTGTTCTCTTAAGAGTCAGTATTACTGTCCTGTGTGAACTCCAGCTTCTTTCCCCCCTAGCCCCTGGCTAGCACTATTTACCCTTAAGTCTTTCTAGAACCGGAACTTTTCTGAACAGCTTTGACACTGCCCAGATGCTTGTCCTGGAAATCGAGCCCCTTCTGTGTTTTCTCTGACTCTGGCTCGGGTTTGGAAAACCTCAGCCTCTCCCCTTCCAAGGGCAAGGGCAGTTTAGGATGGCAATGCAGTGGTTTTCAGAGCCCCAGCACAGCGAGGCACACCCAAGCGGATAAAGGGGTTTGGAAGCAGGAAAACAAAAACCAAAAACCAAAAACCAAAACCGGGAGTGCGCTGGGCGACGGGAAAGCGGAGACAGCGGGCGAGGGAGCGCTGTCCTGCGGCGGGCGGGGGTCCGCGGCCTCGGCGCGGGTGCGTGCGGGCGGGGGTGCGCGCGGGTCCGCCGGCGGCCCGCGGCAGGGGGGGGAACGGTTCTTACAGTCACTGCTCAGCGCGGAGGGCGCGCGGCGGCGGCCGAGGGAGCGGTCTTCGGCGGGCGCCTCGGGAGGCCTCTTACCGGCGGGCAGCGGGAGGGCGGACGCGGTGTGGAGCAGCACCAGGCAGACAGCCACGACATCCCATAACTTCATCTTAGAGTCCCGTCCGGCGGCGGCACCTGCACGGGCGGGGGACAGACCCGCGGACGCGCGTCAGGCCGGGGCGCGGGGCGCGGGGCGCGGGGCGCGGGGCCCCTGCCGAGCCCGCCCCCGCCCCCGCCGCCTCCTGCGCGGCCCGCTGCGCCCCGGGGCGCGGCTAGCTCTCGGCCTCCAGCCTCCCGCCGCCCTTCTCTTCTGCTCCCCCGCCCCGGGGTCAGGCCGACGGGTACCGGCCGACGCGGCGACACGGGTCCTGGCGCGCCCCACTCCCGCAGCCCTCACCCCGCATCCTCCGCCCCGAGACCCCCCCCCCACCTTCCGGCGGCTTCCAGGGGTCCCGGGAGCCAGCCTTCCACCCGAGCAAGCGGTCAGCTTTTCATTTCAGGGATGAACTCGGGGACCCCTTGCCCGGGGTCCCGATCCCGCCGTCGGCTGGCAGGGGCAGGGCTTGGTGGCACCCCCACCGCGCCCGCGCGCCTCATTCCTCCCACTCGTTTATAGGAGGTCTCTGTCGCGGCCCACCGGGCTGCTGGGGACTCGGGGCTTCGGGCCTGGGTGGGCACACCTGCACCACGTTACTTCCCAAAGCATCGGCTCGGATGAAAATACTACTTTCACCCCTTAAGGTCATGAACATTAGATAATGTATGAAAGACGTGGGGGGGGGGGCATAAAGTAAGCGCTTTAGCATGTATTTTTGCATTTGTCTTGAAAATTTTAACCCTTCACGCTATGCACCCCAAGGCCCTCTAGCTTCTGTAGGGTTCGCAGATCCTGGCCCCAAAGCCCTCCCCTCCCCCACCGCCCCGGGCCGAGAGTCTCGAGCTCCCAGCGCCCCGCGTGCAGGAGGCTCGCACCCAGCCGCGGACGCTGCGGAGGCGCACGAGCAGGGGGGAGCCTGCAGCGCCAAAGGTGCGGAGCTGGGGCTCAGCGTTCTCGGCGAGGGGGTTCCATTGGGCTTCTCAGCCCTCAAAACCCCTAGAAAGGCGGACTACGGAATCGCATTGGGGGGCGGGCGAGAAAAAGGCACTGTCAGCTCAGAGCCAAGCCCCACCCAGTTGGCGGGTGTGGAGGAGACCCGGGCACCTCGCGCTGTGGTGGGGCCCGGTGTCTTTCTAGTGCCAGGGTTCCAGTGTGCAAGGGAATTCTAGGCGGAAACTCCGAGATTCATGCAACTGATGATCCCCTCCCTCCCCCACATGCGGTTCTAAGGGAAATCTCCTTGAACTTTTTCCATGGGAGAGAGTAACACAGTTTCCAGGTAAACGCAGCATCGTGCCCCGAGATCCCGGGCTTACCCGCCTCCCGTCCAGCGGCCCTGCCCCCATCTCCACCCAGGACTCCCGCCCAGATTGCCTCGCAGGCCACCCGGGGAAGCGTTTAATTCGGCCGCCGCCTCCCACCGCCGCGGAGACGAATGCATTTTCCATCCCTCGGGCGGCTGTTCGCTACGCAGCTGTGGGCCTCGGGGTGTTTGTAGGGAACTCCGGGCGCCCTGCAGCTCCGGGCAGCTCGTGCCGCGGCGGCTGGTTTACCAACCCGGGGGAGAGCAAAGGCTCTGGGTTCTGGCGCCCGGGCCCAGGCACCCCCGCACCCAGGCCGTGCAGAATGGACGCGCCGGCGGGGGCCGGGGGCACCCGAGGCCTCCCGCCCGCTCGCCCCGGGGCCAGCTGCAGGCTGCGCGCGAAATGGCTGGCGGCCCCGAGGACGGGGAGCCGCGGGGCTAGGGCGCCAGTCCAAGTCGCGGTGCCCGCCGGCAGGAACCGGCAGAGGCCCCAGATTGCCCTTCCGCCTTAAGAGGGGTTTTCCTTTTTTTTTTTTTTTCCTGCTTGGCCGACGCAGAGCTTTTTAAATTGGACGTGGAGATCCTCGATTGTGTGTGGAGAAGCTGGCAAAAGAGGTGAAACCGTGGAAAAGACTCCGCTTCGCGGGAGGAGGCTCCCGGCTCCCGTGCCCGCTGCAGCGCAGGCCGGGAAAGCGCCCCCCACCTCCCCGCGACAGGCAGGGCGCGTCCCTCCCCCCGAGCACCGCGGGGCCGGGCCCACTCGGAGCGGCTCTGTAGTCCCCGGTATTTGCAGGCCGGAGGGGCAGGAGGGGGCTCGGGGCCGAGCACACCCAGAGGTCCCAGGAGGCGGCTTTTCTCAGAGCGCACCTGGGCCCCCCGCCCCACCGCGCCGCTTCCCGGTTTGTCCCTTTATCGCCTTCTCAAAGCCCAGCCGCGGGACGTGTTTCTGCTGCAACCGGCCGCCTTGGCTCCGCGCGAACTGCTGGACGCGCTGCCACGTGCGGTCCCCACGCTCTCCTCCCGAGGTCAGCTCCGCCAGGTGCCCCCGCTCGCGTTCTCGTGCCCCCCAGCCTGCTCCCCCCTCTGCGCCCGGGCCCCGCGCGCCCCGCAGAAAGGAGCGCGTCGCGGGCGCGGGCACCTGGTGGTCCCCAGGCCCGCGGCGCAAAGGGCGCCCCGGGGAGCCAGTGCCCGCAGGAGCCGCCGCTCGCGGCGGGGCGCTTCTGGGTTCCCAGCACCAGGGGGCACCAGAAACCGCCCGAGTCCCTTAGCGCCCCCGCGAATGAGAGGCTGCGTCGTCATTCGAAGTCTAAGATCCGAGAACAAGCACCCCCGCCCCGTGCCCCTGCCACAGTCCTCCCCAAATCCAAGTTGCCCCCCGGAACTTCCGGAGGCGCTCACCAGCCTTCCAGCTTTCTGGGCTCCCACCCTCCATCCTCTCTCCCCAGCTTCCCCCTTCCCACCTCACCTGATCTGGTTTCTCGGTAACCTGCTTTTAGACTGCCCCCTCCCCCCAGGTCCCCCGCGTCACCTCGACAGCTTCCCCCGGGGTGAGCGCCCCCGCACCTTCCTCTGTCTCGCAGGCTGGGAGGTTTGTTTGGGCTTTGCCTTCAGGATCCAGGTCTCAGGGAGAGGCACGGGAGGCGGGGGGGGGGGTGGGTGGTGGGGGGCGTAACTCGGGGGGTAGGGGGTAGGGACAGAGGTGGCTGAAAGATGTCTTGCTTTTCTTAAGCGTGCCTCGTGTCGTAGCCCGACGGAGGGCTGACTTTCCCCAGACTGTTGGGCCCAAGAAGAAGAATGAGGGACGTTTGCTGCATGCATTTCTGGGGAGAAATCTCCCTGATAAGGGGCCCAGGCCAGATTTCAGGTCCGGGGGACCCGAACCCCTGTGCCAGAGTGGACTGGGGACGCCGCGGGCTCCCTGGACACCTGACACTTGTTGAAAAGGCGCCACGGTCCCCCTACGCCGCCAAAGCGAATGTGAGGGCGAGGGCTGGTCCCGGCCGGCGGCTGCCCAGGGGCCCCCACTGAGGGCTTTGCAGGAAGAGGTACGTGCGGGAAGTCGGAAGCTGCATTTCTTTTTCGGGATACTTAAATGTATATTCAAAGTGTCTAGTAGCTCTAGCACATGGGCGGCAGGGCCGGAAGAGTCGTGTTTGTCCCCGCCAATGAGCAAAAATGTTGGGAGCACGGGGTTGGGCAGCCTCCCCGCCGCCCCCCCCCCAGCCGGGGCGCGCACTTCGGCTCCGCGGGCGGGTTTGCCACCCGCCAACCCGCCAACCTAGGGAGGCGCCTGGGGGGCTGGGGGTTCCGGCGAGAGTCCGCTCCCCTCCCCAACGAGGGTTCACCTCCAGCGGGTGGGGCTGGTAAACCGAACCGCGGCGCAGTCAGCCCAGAGGTGGTGCGAGGTAGCACCGGGGGGGGGGGGGTGGTGGCACCGGCGAGGTGGCACAGAGTGACAGGAGAAAAGAGCTCATTAAAGCAATCACTTCGGTGGCCTCGCGCGGACACCGAGGAGTTTCAAGGAGCCATTGGAGGCGGAGGCCCACGTCCTGGACCGTTCGGGCGGCCCCTCTCCTAACCTCGACGGGCAGGGCTAGTCGGGGTTGCGGGCGTTAGGAAAGTGCAAGCAACCGGGTCCTGAAATGGGCGAGGAATGTAGCTTTGCAGGACGGCGCCGGAGGAGGGGAGCCCACTATTTTTAGGTTCTCAGCACCTCTGCAGCACTCCCTCCCGGGGTGTGCGCCTCCCCTCGGAGGACAGACGCAAACAGGCTCGGAGTAAGTTACACAGCCCGCAATCCTACGTCGGCAGCTGCGCGTCCAGCTGGTCGCGGTGGGTTCAAAGACGACCCCAAACCCACACCGCCCCGGGCCTTGACGGAAGAGCGCCCCGCCGAGCCGGGGAGGGAAAGTGACCCTCTGGGACATTCCGGGGTCTGTAGGCGTCGGAGCGCCAGAGATGTGTGCCCACGTGGAAGGGCGACCGGCGTCCCCGCAGGGCCAGCCCCTCTCCGTCCAACTCCTCTGTCTCCTCTCCCGCGCTCCCCGGCGCCTCGGTCCCATCTAGTCTTTCCTCCTTCCAATCTCCCCGGCCGCGCGGGGGTCCAGCCGCGCCCCCTCCGCCCCGCGCGCCCCGCAGGCCGCCGCGCCCGCCCGCGACCCCGGCGCCATCCGCCCCCTGCTGCCCCGGGCCGCTCTCCCACTTACCTCGGATCCGGTCTCCGCAGACCCCCAGTTGGACATTAACTCCAGGAGCCCCGAGTCCCAGCCAGGAGCCCCATCCGGGCCGAGGGCAGGAGCGCAGAGCCCCGCCCCACAGGTCAGGGGCACGAGTTCGCAATCCTGGGGCAGCGAGGGCGCGCAGGAGGCGGTGGCCAAGACTCCCGCCGCCGCCGCCTCGAGGAGGGCGAGGGACGCCGACAGCTCCCCCGCCGATGCCCTGCACCCCCCGAAACCGAGGTCCGGGCAGCCGCCGCTGCCTTGGGTGGGGGGGGGTGACACGGCCGCGCGCGCCGCGCTCTGCGCGGGCCCGGGGCGCGGCGGGCGGCTCAGCGGCGGCGGCCGCGCTCTGCGCCTTCTCGGGGCGCAGCTCCTGGGAGCACGAGATGGGCCGGGCTGATGCTGCCGCCGGAGCTGAGGTCTGGCCTGGAAATCCGATAGAGACACCACGTCAACCGGCGCGGGGAGTCCCGTGAAGACATGAGGGCGCCAGGAGCGCAGGCTGGTCCTTGAGAGCCCGGGCCGGGGGGCCGGGGGGGGGGGGAGGGGAGGCGCGGGGCCCCGGGAGGGGGGGCGGGAGGAGGCTGTGAGCGAGGGAAAGCGGAGCAGCGAGGAGGCGCCCGAGCTCCCGAGGAGGGGGCTCGGCGTGCGGGTGGGTGGCGCGAGGCGCTCCTCCGCGGGGTGCAGGGAGAGCGCTCAGCGCGTGCAGACGCCCCGGGCTCGCGTCGCCTCCCTGCGGGGCGCCCCGGGGACGGTGCGGAGCTCCGCGCGCAGCGCAGCCGGAGGGGACAGTCTGAACTTGGCCGCGGCGCGCGCGCCGGCCCTTGCCCCCGGCCCCGCGCTGGGAGGGAGCGCGCTCCGTCGGGCGGAGGCTGGTCCGGGCGTTCCTCGCGCCCGTCGACGGCTTTCCTTCCTTCCCGGGGCCTCGCCCTCCCGCTTCGCTGCGGGCCGACGCGGCGGGCGGAGAGGAGCTGCGCGCGGGAGCGCTCCCACACTACGGCGCGGAGAGACGTGGAGCGGCCGGAGGGAGGCAGAGCGTGTGCCAGGGGACGCGCAGAGCGGGGATGGATTTATAGGGCCCTCACTCTGTGACGTGCCCTGCAGTGGCTTTTCTGATTCGCTTTCTGACCTAAACACACATTAGTTTAGTCCCCATGCTAGGGCCAACACGGTCTCCAAATACCTGCTGGCTGAAGTCAGAGGCTCTGCATATCATGTATTACATGGCAGGCAATGAAGAAGGCTTCTGAGGCTGGCCGGCTTCTCAGTCCTAGGCTCCATTTTCATGCTGTTGTAATATAATATCAGACGTGGGGTAGGCACATACATTCAGAATCCCAATTCCAGAGGAGTAAGGTCACTTTATCAGGAACGGGTCAAGGGAGGTTGGGCTAAACCTGCTTTTATCCCCATTCTTGAAAACGCAGGATGGGAAACCTAAGCGAGCACTCCCTTGGTTGGGTACTGAGTGTCCAGTGAGCAGGGACCCAGCTCCCACTCGTGATCTCTGGGAGACCTTTTAGGCATTCCTTTTGTTGGTTAGCTTACCACCAGAAGCAGCCAGAGCCTTCTTTTGTAGAGGACACGAGGAGGGCAAGTCCTTACACACACCCTGTGCATGACTCTCCCCATAAACACATTTCGTTCACACAGCGCATGAAATTAGCCCTGCCTTTCAAATAATGTCCTAAATGAGGTATGTCTTTGCTAAGCTGAAGCCGGCTCTCCGGAAGACACTGGGACCTGAGTTCAGTGGGACCTCTTTTATTTTATTAGCTGGGGCCAGGGAAAGTGTAAACAGGCTAGGTTTACATCGCCGGTACCTCTAATTGCATGACTCACCTGGTTGTTGGGGAGTATGTGTGCTTCAAGTAGCTGATACAGACAATAGACAGGGGAAATGTGTGTGGCAATGTGGGGAGAAGATCATGTATTATTAAACTTCTTGGAAGTCAAAGATCAGCTACTTTGGAGGTTTGTCAGAGAAGCTAGTGTGGGAGGAAAATTGTTCTTACTAATGTTACTGTGATTTAAGATGAAGCGGAGTGAAAATGAAGTGATCCAAACATACCTTAGCTGCAGTTAGGATGCTCCCTGTAGTTGTGCAGAATATGACATTTCCTTCTTTGATGGATTTATGGTAGAAATGTCGGTGGATGCGGAAATGTGAGGGCAGGATAAGCTTAACGTAGTTGTCGTAGCTTAGCGTTGCTTTTGGAATTTGAGGGCATCCCTAGGCAGTGCTCCTACCATGGGTGATTTCTTCATTTTCAGAAGGTTTTTCACTGAGGCTGATCAGACCGTCCGAGCACCTGCAATGATTTAGCACTTGTTATGCGCTAGACTCTGGAATTGTGCTGACTGGGCCTTTTGGGGTTGGTTGCAAAGAACAGATTCCACTGAGTTTACCCTAAGTGATGGGAGTTTACTGTGGAAGGAAGGCTGACCGGAATCTCCACCGCTCAGCCACGTGTCTCCGAAAAGCCTTCCGGAAAGGCCACCCAGCCAGGCCTCACGAAAACTGGATTGAAGTTCAGGAACTGGAAGGTCATTCAGGATCCGGCTCTGTGGCTGGGTTATCTCGCTGCCCCCTAAGCAGCAGGCATCTGGGATCCCTACTAGCAGGCTTAGCCGCCAAGGTAATTCAGCTCTTCTCTCTCTGTTTCTCTTTGATTGTCTCTTGGCTTCTGATCCTGCTACCAACTGCTCAGCTCCCTGTTGATCTCACATTTTAACTCCTTTAGTGAAAGAATCTAATTGGCCGCACCGGACACTGACCAGATGCTAGACTCAGTGTTTGTATCAGGCCTCCTTTTGGTTGCTGGACACCCTGTAGATCAGCAGACCTTGGTCAGGTGCTTAGTCACCCAAGTCCATGCTGTTGGGGTCACATGGTACCCAGCCTGGCCACCTTTGCTTAAGAAACGTCCTAGGGTTCTTCCTTGTCTTCTTTCCATGGGATTTGTGTCCCCAGAAGGAACTGTGTTAATGGTAGGCTCTTGGAGTTTAATGAGCATCCGTCTACTACAAGACAAGACTCAGAGATGAATAAGATGCAGCTCCTGCCTCTCTGTGCACTTACCATGTATAAGAGAGGGAGACACACATACAAGTAGTCACAGAATAGAGTGATAAATGCTCTAACCCAGGTAGGCGTGACATGTCCATGTCTGATCTTCACATGGCCGGTCAAATCTGGGGAAGAATGAAAACACACTCATGTTTTGGGCCTATTCTTGGGCAATTAAATAAGATTCTCTTGGGCAGGGGAGCCCAGAAGTTGATATTTTTAAAAATGTCCCCCAGGTTCTAAGTACACCTGGGGTTGAGGTATCAACTTTATTTTTTTCGATGATTATAATCATTTTATGACTATTTTTGAGACCAAAACTGATAGATTTACCAATTTTGATTGTTCTAGGCCCTCTAGGACTAAGATGCTTCCAAAACACTCAATTTCTTTTGGAATACTATCTATCGATTATCTTGAAGCTGTAATATAAAGGAAAATGTAAAATTGAATTTCGAGTTAAAAGTAAATACTTCTAGTTTTGAAAGAGTATTTATTTGCAGGATTACAAAGATGACCGCAGAAAAGGGGGAAAGGTCTAAAGTTGTCCAAATCTCCTAGTACAAAGCCCAACATTTAAATGTACTGTATTTGGGACGCCCAAGTGGCTCAGTGGTTGAGCGTCTATCTTCAGCTCACGGGGCATGATCCTGGGGTCCTGGGATCGAGTCCCACATCGGGCTCCCTGCGGGGAACCTGCTTCTCCATCTGCCTATGTCTCTGCCTCTCTCTGTGTGTCACATGAATAAGTAAATAAAATCTTCTAAAAAAATAAATGTACTGTAATTGATATTGACAAAAATCTCCTCAGACTCAGGCTTTACAAATAATGAAAAAAAGTTTCTTCTAAAGTGGCTGCCATGAAGCAAGCATTTGATGTCTTAGGGACAAGTGGATGGCCTGATGTCATAGTCTCAAAGCTGCCAAATGCTGAAAGTAGGGACCCCTCCACAGCTCTATCTTTTCCGTTTTCTTTCTTTAAAAATTAATTAACTAATTAATTGATTAAAGTGAGAGAGAGAGAGAGAGAGAGAGAGAGCATGAGCAGGGAGACAGGGAGAGGGGGAGACAAGCAGACTCCTTGCTGAGCAGGGAGCATGATGTGGGATTCATTCCCAGGAATCTGAGATCATGACCAGAGCTGAAATCAAGAGTTGGATGCTTACCTGACTGAGCCACCCAGGGGCCGTACTGCTCCCCCTCCCCCATCTTCTCCTTTTTCTAGGAAATAAGCTAAGTTTGATATGAAGCTGCTCCTTAGCAAAGTCTAGAAGAGAACAACCTGCAGCCCCACTTTTGGTCTGAGTGGGTAGATTTCCCCCTGAAAAAGTAACAACACACCACTAAGAATCCTTACATTGACCCTAGATCTTGGCCTTTCATCTGGAAAACCCTGCCTGCGAATCAGAAAGAGAGAAGCAAGTATTGCTCAGGCATCTCATCTCCTCTTTGAGAAGAAAGGTTCAAAACCCTCCTAATTTCCCATTTCATTATCATCATCTTCATGGGAATTTGTTGTAGATCTCTAATGAAAGATGTTTAAATGATGGACTGTGCTCTGTGCCGGAGGATTTTCCAGTCACGGCAAAGAAAAAACACAAAATGATAAAAAGGAGTCTAGGATATCCTGAGGCTGTGGGCCACCACTATGACCATATTTGGAACTCAAACTAGGCCTTTCTTGGAGAAAGTGAGTGGGAGGGGGTGGCAAGGGGAGCATTCCAGGCTAGGTGGAAGAGGCCTCTGGAGACTCCGGGCTCCGCACTCCCAGTGGGACTCTGCAGCTGCCGTGCCTGGAAGGGCCAGGCCCCGGGTCCCAGGACTCCCTCATAACATGGGTCATGACGGCTGAAACAGAATCCATCACTCGAACAGGGCAATTTCCTTTTCAAAGTCACCACTTTATTGGGGAGGGATTTGTTTCATGCATGCTTGCTCTTTAGCAGTCATTTTCACCAATGATACTATTACTCATAAAGAAAAGATAAATTTGCTATACTTCAGACTGCTTATAAGAAGAGAAAAGAAAAAAAAGAAAAGGGGAGAAATGGACTGTAATGGCCT